TATCTAGAAGAACTCTAAGATATACCCATATTAATGTTGATTTGAAAGGTATCTAGAAGAACTCTAAGATATACCTATTTAAGTTAGGCCTTGCGGGTATGAACCCCGGTGGCTAGGGTTAAAACGTACGTACGGGATCCAAGAACCAAACTTGAGTACCTACTCGTTTGGGGGTACCACCCACCCAACAGTGAACACTACGCTGTCGGTTTTTGGTTGGCCTTAAGTGAAGGTAAGTTTAAGATTTCCAAAACCCTTTTATCTTAAACTAGGCCTAGCTTAAGGATTATTAGGAGTACTCTGTATACTGGAATATAGTTTAATTAGTTAAACTAGAATTCATTTAAGGGTTACAAATATTAAAATGATTGGCCTTAGACTAAGAATAGTTTAAGGATATTGTTGAATGACAAATGAAGAACATACATGTTGAACGATTGAATAATGAATGTTGAAAATTGAATATTGATTATTGAATATCTGAATGAACATTATGTGCATGATATCAAATGATTTGATTGTGAATTGAGATACAATTTATATGGATGTTCGATGCATTGGGTATGCTTACTCAGCTTCAACGCTGAGCGTGTAGTATGTTTTATTTGCTACACGCAGGTTATTAGAAAGAATGAAGTAACGTGGTCCTGGAGGCAGACGGAGGCGAGATTGTTGGAATGGATGTGATGGTTTTGAATTAAAGAACATAATAAATGATGTTGTAATTATGATTTGGTAAAGCTTCCGCAATATTGAAAACTCCGTACTGTTTATATTATGAAAAATATTATTATGATAAATAAAAGTGTTTGAAATGTTTTAAATTTTTACGATTACCAAGTTAATACTTTAGTCCGAAAGGGGCTGTAGACCTGGACGGATTAGGGTGTTACAACATCTTTAGATAATCCGATTTATATATATAATATTCGGATATGTGTGTGTGTGTGTGTATCACTCACCTTGTTGTTCCAGAGAATTAATATACATATACTTATTTTATATATTATATTATATATATAATTATTACTCCGTATTAATGTAATACAGGTCCCAACATCGGAGTGTGTCTAAATATAGGACTGTGATGATATGGAAGGACTGAAATCTGTTATGGTGAATTTTTAGGATTTTAATATTTGAGGCATAAAAAAAACAAACGTATCTTGGCGTGGCATAATGGAATTAAACCCCGTTGATGCAGCCATGGCGATTTTGTTTCTTATATTGCTTCAAACTTAAAACCGGATTAAAAAATATGAGCCTCCATTATAATTATTACATGTATATATGTGTATAGGGCTGTGATGATATGGAAGGACTGAAATCTGTTATGGTGAATTTTTAGGATTTTAATGTTTTAGCCATAAAAAAAACAAACGTATCTTGGCGTGGCGTAACGGAATTAACCCCCGTTGATGCAGCCATGGCGATTTTTTTTCTTGTATTGCTTCAAACTTAAAACCGGATTAAAATATCTGAGCCTCTATTATAATTATTATATATATATATATATGTATATATGTGTATATATATATGTGTGTGTGTGTGTGTATGTGTGTATGTATGTAAAATGTAAAGAAGGTAACACCATTGTTGTGGAGAGCTAGATGCTCAATAAGAAATAAAAGATTGAATGGGAAATAGAAAAGTGGGAATGTGAGGAGTTGTGGTGTTGGTAAATTAGAGAATGACCTATTATTTATACTATCAGGATTTGTGAGATTGGTATGAGATATAATGTTAGATTTGACACAAAGTTACTTTTTCATCTACTTTATGGAGCCACTCAATTCTTTCCCAAAGCAAGTTTATGGAACCACTAAAAATAACTTTATAGAACTACTAAATTTTTGTTTCCCAAAAATTGTGTAAATCTTACTATTTAATTGATTAGATGGAAAGTATTGATATGACACTTTTCCAATTGTATATAGGAGGATGCCGATTTCAAATAAATGGGTCTACTTTTTTTATTAGGATTTGAAGATATACCTAATACAGCAGCCACACACTTACTGCATTAAATGTTCAATGCCTTTAAAGATTTCTCCAATCTAAAAATTTAATGTTGAATGAGACATAAAGTAATAAAGTAGAGATTGTTTTAAAAAATCTCGTGCACACGCTGCCTAAGATAGCTGAATTGACAGATTTTGAAAAGCTTAAAACGTTTTTTAAGGCCAGACGCAGCAGCCCAAGGTGCTCACATTATTCAAGAAATTCTTTACTTATGAAAAGGTGTTAAAATAAGTGCCCTTCACTAGAGGGGGGTGAATAGTGAGGCACGAGAATGTTTATAAATTTTCGCGGAATAAAAATCGCAGGGATAAAGTAAAGAGCGGAATAAAAAGAAGTAAAGGGAGCACACCAAGATTTACCCTGGTTCACCACAACTTGTGGCTAATCCAGCCTCCCGAGAGACTCTCTCGAGCTACACTACTTCTGTTAAGCTTACGGGTGCTTAACAAACCGTTACAACCTGAGAACTCGAGTCCCACGAGCCTCAATACACTTGCTCGGAGATACCGCACTCCAAGACTTCAACCCGAAGGAAAATAACTTTCCTTCGTACAACCAAGGGAAACAAGCTTCCCTAAACGTGTTTACAACACTAAGAACACTCAAGAACAAGACTCTCTTTAAGAGTAGATGTTGAGTAAACTATATACGCTCAAGAACAACTCAAACTTCACAAATTGGCTCTAGAAAGCTATGGAAAATAATGTTGTTTGGATGCAATGATAATATGAATAAAAATAAGTGAATTGATGAGAAAAGCAGACCCAAACACCCCTTTTTATAGTGCCAAAATAGGCTCCAGCGGATCAATACATTAAAGGGGTGATTGGCTTGATTTATGGGATTGAATAAATTTGGGATCTGCAGGATATTGGCTTCCCATCGATGTTTGGAACTTACCCATCGCTGGTAAGCCAATTTTCCTTCAGTTTTGAAGCCAACGGTTACCTACCCATCGATGGGTAGATGCTTCCCATCGCTGGGTGGGAGGTTGACTTTCAAATAAGGAAAGAATCAGCCTTAAATGACTCGCAACGGTCATGCCTAACTATCGATGGTTAAGCCTTCCCATCGTTGGGTTCCCATCGGTGGGTAAAGCTTCCCATCGCTGGGTAAGGGCATTCTGCCTTGTGGTAATGTTGCACCAAGGCTTTAACATCGATGGGTAGAACTTCCCATCGCTGTTTGGCATGGTTCTGGAAATTGGTTTGGCTAAGGGACTGCTTACCCATCGATGGGAAGATCTTCCCATCGCTGGGTGACATGATTCTGGAATCCCGGGATCACTTACCCATGCATGGGTGAAATCTACCATCGCTGGGTAGATGGCTAGCCCAGAACCATGGCCTAGCTGACCGGCGCTGAAACCCGACCAAAAAAAGCAAAGTTCTCCAAAGTAAAAACTAAGTAAATAAAACACTTATTTAATGTATTTTGATGTCAAAACAAGCTTTGTAAGTTGAAAACCACGTCGTTAAGGTAAAAACCACGGTTGACCAAGTCAACACCGTACACGGGTGGTTTTCACCAAAAGACAAAACCAAAAGGTGGTTTTCATGATGTTTTGATTGGAGAACCATTTAAATTCATTCAAAAACAATTCCCGCACAAAAAGACTTCGAAAACCACTTCATTTAAGTAAAAACCACGGCTAGCTAAGTTAATGCCGTTTCACATGGTTTTTATCAAACGACAAAAAACGAAAGGTGGTTTTTGAAGTGTTTTTGATGAAAAAACTATTTAAATGTGCCCAGAAGTAAAAACCAGTCATAAAAAGTTGAAAACCATTTGGTTAGTTCGGACGCCAAAAACCAACGCCGAAAACCGAATGCCGAATGCCGGTTTCTGAAACCCGAACGCCGGATGGCTTGGTTTTTGGTTTGGGCGAACACCAAGTGTTTTTAATGACTTAAAAAAGTTTGAAAAACATTTTTATGATGTAAGAAATGCAATGATAGATTTTAGCCTAAAGAGCCAAGGTGTAAAGATTGGGTCGGTCTTGATCGCAATAAAGACCGACTCAATACTATGATTAAGGTCTTCGTTTAGCTCTTGCTCTTATCTTCGTTCTTCGCCTTGTATATTCAATGTTCGACCTTATCACGGCGGTTTGGCATTATCAAAACCTGTTACAAAAACGAACACGGCTTTAGTACGAAAACGTGATGAACCCGTGTTTCAACAAAAGGATTTTTTGGGCCAGATGCAGCAGCCCACTCACGCAACCCGATCCAGATTGCAGCCCAATAACCGGCCAAGATGTTTTGGCGGGAACACTGTAGAAATTTGTCTCACACCATTGTATAGATAAAGATTAACCATTAGTTTTAAAACACACACACACACACACACACACAGAGTTTGGTTCGAGTGAGAATGAGATCGAATGAAAGAAATAAGAATGAATCTGGAACGTTAAATCGATCAATTCAAGCACGCTATCTTGGACAATGAATATGGGCATTTGTGTATTTTCATTTGTCTATCCCGATTCATGCGTTGATTTCCTTAGTGATCTTCATTCTCACCTCTTACGGTCATACCCTGGTTCTCTCTCTCCCTCTCTCTCTCTCATTTTCCTCCACTAGCTATGCGAGATTCACATATTATCTCTCATGGGTTCATATATCACATCTTGAAGGGATACAATTATGAATTCAAGTTGTTGAATCATATAGATAGATCGCAATCACAATAAGGTTAGCAATTTATTTTTTGTTTTTAAAATTTCTATAATCCAGCAACGAGTCTCAATTTTTTGTGTTTACGTTTCTATATTCATATATTTTCAATTATTTGGGGTTTATCCATTCCGAATCTCTGTTTTTTTGTGTATCTGTTTCTTTGGATGTGAGTTTTGAATGGTTGGGTTGGTTATAAAATGTGTTTGAAGGAGAAAAGTTTGTAAATTTCGTTAATTATATATAGAATTTTTCAATTTTGACTATTGTGATAATTTGATGCCAATGAAAGATTGTGATGGATATTTGAAGATGATTTAGGTTTTAATATGAAGTGGAGGTATTTGCAAAGGAAAATATCAACATTCATCTCCAGTATTGGACTTTTAGCTTAGTAATGCATTTTGATACATTAAGAGTGCTCTTGGACCCTAAAATTATAATGGTTTGGGATGCATCACTGTTCTTACTATGATGTTGGATAAAGTTTGGTTTAGCTTTTTGTACCTAAATGCCTATTAATAAGAGAGGACGCTATATGTTCTAATGGCTGTTATTAGATATGATGTTATTTTGTTCAAATTTGTTACGTGCTCTGTTTTC